CAAGGGGAGTGGCCGAGACCTCCCACAAGGAACCCACAAGATGAGAATGCACTGGAGTCTGACTTCCAGAATAGCAGCTGCAGGGAGCTCTGAAGGAGACTGAGCTGCAGACAAAAATAGGCTCAGCTCCTTATACTGCAACAGATACACAGTGAGAAACAATAGAGATGCATCCACTTTCATTTCTGTTTTACCTGTCAAATCACCAGAATTGAGAAAAAAATGGTAATAACTGAGGAAGTGTGAACTGTTACACGCTTGTGGTAGGAGGACTGTCCATCAAAGGTGGTGTTTTAGGAGAGGCTATTTGGAAATATGGGTCAAGAGCCTGAAAAATTTACCTACCTTTAGATTCAGCTATTTCCTTTTCGTGGTTTAGGAATGTATCATGATCTGTTATTTAATCATGAATATATGGAACGACTTAGACATGAAAACTGTCATGATAGTATTGTTTATAGTAGTAAATAATTGGAAGCCATTTAAATGCCCAAGGGATTATTAAATAAATGATCAACATTACTCTATGTTCACCATGCAGCCATTAAAAAATGAAGGTGCTGAGGATCTTAAATGACACGGAAAACATTCACAATATATTGTTGTGACAAGAAAAGAAAGTTATGAACTAATTTATAAGAAAAATGGATCAAGAGAAGATACTTGCAATTTTTAAAACCTGTAAGGGCCCAGATTTTCAAAAATACTCTTGCAAAGCAACTAGAAAAAGACAAGCAAGGAAAAATAAGCAAAGGTTGTGAATAGTCAGCTCACAGAGGAGGAACTCTAGAAACCTAACAGGCATGTAAAGAGATGCTCACGCTCGTACTTAGTAATTTGGAGAAATGCAAATTAAAATGACAGTGAGGGATCACTTCAATCACATTGGCAAACAGAAAACTGGGCCTCTACACCTTTGGCCCAGTCAGTTTCCTTACTTAACACCCATTTCTCTATGTCGTTGTAAGAGTCTTGTGTTAGAGCCTGAGGCACATGCTAGATTATCCATATGTGTTAATCACATTTAAATCTGAATCTCTTTTTTTAAAAAAGCCTTCCTTATTTTAGTCGGTTTCAGATTCTTAGAGGAACTGTCTTCTGTAGGGACTGGACTGAATGAATGCTGTACCTTGTCCTGCAACCTGAGTCATCAGGAAGGGATGTGATAGGAATTTTCAGTTCTGTTTGTTCTGAATTCAGATCTGCTTTGCCAAAGCATGGAGACAGAAGACCTTTCAAAGGCTGTGGACAGAACTGAAGATCCTGGTTCCAAGAATCATGGTCAGCCCACTGCAGTGCAGCCTGATCTCCCACTTGGAGGGCAGTCCCCTGGCCCCACCGCTCTCTGGGACACACTCGAAAGGAAGTTTCTGGAATACCAGCATTTGACTCACAGGAGCCTGGATGAGCGTCAGAAGAGCCTGTTGAGTCTTCTCCCCCTGTTCCTAAAGGTGGGTATTCTTATTTTTCAAACTGTAAGATACAGTGCTGTGGGACACTTCTAGGATAATTTGAAACTGAAGTGGTGGTATTAATATCATCACAAATAGCCTCTGATTGGTTGCTCAGAGAAGAGTTGTCTGTCAGTTTGGGCTGCTGTAATAGAATACCATAGACTAGGTGGCTTATGAACAACAGATATTTTTTTCTCATGGTTTGGAGCCTGGGAAGTCCAAGATGAAGGGAGATTCAGTGTCTGGTGAGGGCCCACTTTCTGGCTCATAGATTGCACCTTTGTGCCAGGTCCTCACATGGTGGAAGGGGTGAAGGGTCCCTCTCGGGCCTCTTTTATGAGGGCACTAATCCCATTCATGAGAGCAGAGCCAAATCATCTCCAAAGGTCCCACTTCCTAATACCATAGCTTTAAGGGTTAGGATTTCAACATATGAATTGGGGGGGGGGAGCACAAGCATCACACCATAGCAAGCGTGTCATGCCATTTAATAAAGGTGGCAGACAAGGCTCAACTCCAGGGAAGAGAAGGGCTGGGAAAGGATCGACAGCTGGCCCTTGAGCAACACTGTCTCTTTAGCTAAAAAGATGACATCATCTGACCACAATCCCAGCTTCGAAGCTAGAGAAGAGACCAGCTCCTTTGGGAGCTAGGAGAGGAAGGTGTCCTGCTGCATGAGTCACGGGGATGGCTGGCAACCCCGCATTCAGCAATGCCAACAACCAGGTCCAGGAAAGCCAGAACATCTTGCATCAAATTGTGCCAGTAATGCAAACTGAGGCATGATCGGTGGGGAGAACTGGAGCGGCACTCCCTTCCCTGGTCACAGGCGTGCTAGGGAAGCCCGGCCTGTCCGCACTGTCTAGCGGCAGCTGGTGACAGCTTGGGTGTAAGGGATTTTCTTTGTTGTCTGGGAACAAAGCTCCCGCCAGTGCGGTCTGCCTTATAATTGAATATATTGAAGTCTAGTTGTAGAGCTGAATGCACATCTTTTCATGAGGACTTAGTTCTTGCTTGATTATTGATTTTTTGTTATTATCGAGAAACATACAGCTACAAAACATTCAAAGCAGGGAAAATAGGAGATATTTTTCACATTGAAAGTAGACTAGGATGGATGGAGGCTTTGGCAGGTTTTTACGGGACACACCTATGTTAATATAATTCATCGAATTTATTAATCAGAAATATTTAAGGACTTCCAAAGATGACTCAGAATCTTCTCGGGATTATATTTACGGGATGTATTGCATACTTAGAATGTCTTTCAGGAAAGAAAGCACCAAGTTACTTACTGTTCATTAATTCATTATTTTCCTCCATGCTTTGGACTTGTACCCCCATCCCTCCCATTTTACGGATTGGATGACTGGGGCTGGGTGAGGAGAGATGGCTCAAGTTTCTCATTCCTAACACTGCCCACTCGGACAACCCCACATTCTGGGAGGTAGGTCAGTCTTACCCCAGTTCCGAGATCAACTTTGCCTCCTGGAAGGAGCAGCTCCCACACCCACTGCAGCTCTGTTGTTGAACACGTGGGCTGTCAAGTCAAGCAGCGCAGGGCTCAAATCCTGGACCTATCACTTATTAGCTGTGTAACCTTGAGCATGTTACTAAATATAGCTGAACCTCAGTTTCTTCAACGGTAAAGTAGAATTAGTAACACTTGGCTGGGAAACTGTGAGGGGAGAACAGATGATGATTGTCACGTCCACAGCACATGGCAAGCAGCCATGGTCCCAGTACCTTTCCACCAGCCTCAAGGGAACTAACTGCAAGTGTGCCTAGACATTACAGATCTGGTCACCATGGTTTTCCAAACTGCTGACAATCTGCTCCTCTTTGGATCCCTAGAGCCCGCTTTCAATGAACCCTGTAGAGGCAGAATATTACCGATTTCTCATCATTTTCTTAATATCTACATGCTTTTATATAAGTCCTACATGCCTACAAACCTGTTGTTTCTATTCAGTCTTGTTTAGTAAAATCCAGCCAGAGCCAGAACCCTCAGCTTTCTTAATTAAGAATTGATGGTGTAGTGCAGATAAAATCTGAGCTGTAGATGAAGACTGAGAATGTTTTTCGGAATAGAGGCCCTTGTGTAAAAAGTCAAGCATGTAACCACTCTCTTCTGAATTTTATAACCATAAAGTGTGTTATTCAAGGTTGTCCATGAACAGCCCCACTGGAAATATCAGGACATGAAGGGGTGTGCCATTTCCCAAGGACTGTGGATATTGACGTCAAAGCCTTATACATGTATTGGTTGCTAGGGAAACTGCCTGCCACCTAGGCTCTGAGGTTCCTTTCTCTTTTTAACTCTTTTAAAAAAAAATGTATTGAAACACAATTGATTGCACGTATCTGTGGGGGGTACAGCATTGAATATCCATACCCGTGTGCAATATGTGATGCTGAATTCAGAATAATTAGTATATTCAACACTACACAATGTAATCATTTTTTGTGGCCCTTTACCAGTTTATGGTAATCCTCCCGCCCCCTCCCCCTTTCCCATCTCTGGTGGCCTCAGTTCTGTTCTCTCCTTTTGAAAGTTCAATGTATTTCTTTCTTTTTTAAAATTTATTTATTTATTTATTTATTTATTTTAGCTCCCACTTACGAGTGAGGACATGTGGTATTTCTCTTTCTGTGTCTGGCTTATTTCACCTAACATAATTTTCTCTAAGTTTATCCATGCTGCTGTGAATGCCAGAATTTCATTCTTTTTTATGGTAGGGTAGTATTCCATTGCATATATATACCACATTTTCCTTATCCAGTCATCTGTTGGTGGACATTTAGGTTGGTTCCAACTCTTGGCTACTGTGAATAGGGCTGCAATAAACGTGGGAGCACAGGTATCTCTTCAACATGATGATTTCCATTCCTTTGGGTACATACCCAGCAGTGGGACTGATGGATCATACAGCATTTCTACTGTAGTTGTTTGAGGAACCTCCATACTGTTTTCCATAATGACTGCACTAATTTACAGTCCCACCAACAGAGTAGGATAGTTCCCCTTTCTCTGCATCCTGACTAGTATTTGTTATTCTTTGTCTTTTTGATAATAGCCAGTCTAACTGGGGTGAAATGATATCTCAATGTGGTTTTGATTGGTATTTCCCTGATGTTTAGTGATGTTGAGCATTTTTTCATGTGTCTGTTGGCCATTTGTATATCTTTCTTTGAGAAATGCCTATTCAGCTCCTTTGCCCTTTTATTAATTGAGTTACTTGTTTTTTTTACTGTTTAGTTGTCTTGGCTCCTTACATATTCTGGATATTAATCCCTTGTTAGATGCATAATTTGCAGATACTTTCCCCCTTTCTGTAGGTTGTCTTTTCACTCTGGTATTTGTTTCTTTTGCTGTGCAAAAGAGTTTTAATTTGATATAATCCTACTTGTTTATTTTTTCTTTTATCTGTGCTCTTGGGGTCTTATTCATAAGGTCTTTCCTACTTCCTGAAGTGTTTCCCTTATGTTTTCTTTTAGGAGTTTTATAGTTTTGGGTCTTATATTTATGTCTTTAATCCATTTTGAGTTGTTTTGCTATGTGGTGAGAGGTACAGGTCCAGTTTAATTCTTCTATGTATGGCTGTCCAGTTTTCCCAGCACTATTTATTGAAGAGGCAGTCTTTTCCCCAATGTATGCTTCTGTTGCCCTGGTGAAATATCAGTTGGCTGTAAGTATGTGGGTCGATTTCTGGGTTTTCTATTCTGGTCCATTGGACTGAGTGTCTGTTTTTATGCCAGTACCATGCTGTTTTGGTTACTATAGCTTTGTAGTATAATTTGAAGTCAGGTAGTGTTTGCCTCTGGCTTTATTTATTTATTTATTTTATTTTTGCTCAGGATTGTTTTGGCTATTTGGGGTCTTTTGTTGTTCTGCCTCTGGCTTTATTTATTTATTTTATTTTTGCTCAGGATTGTTTTGGCTATTTGGGGTCTTTTGTTGTTCCATGCAAATGTTAGGATTGTTTTTTCTATTTCTGTGAAGAATGTCACATCACTGGTATTTTGATGAGGATTGTGTGGAATCTGTAGATTGCTTTGGGCTTTATGGACACTTTCACAATGTTAATTCTTCCAGTCCGAGAGCATGGAACATCTTTCCATCTTTTTGTGTCCTCTTTAATTTCTTTCAGCCATGATTTGTAGCTTTCATTGTAGATATCTTTCACCTTCTTAATTAAATTGATTCCTAGGTATTGTAAATGGGCTTACTTTCTTTATTTCTTTTTCTGTTAGTTCATTATTGGAACATAAAAATGCTACTGATTTTTGTATGTTGATTTTGTATTCTGCAACTTTACTGAAATCATTTATAAACTCTAAGAGTTTTGGTAGAGTCTTTAGGTTTTTCTGTATATAGGATCATGTCATCTGTAAACAAGGACAGTTTGACTCTGTCTTTTCCTATCTGGATGCCCTTTCTTTCTTTCTCTTGCTTGATTGCTCTGGCTAGTACTTCTAATACCATGTTAAATAGGAGTGATGAGAGTGGGCATCCTTGTCTTGTTTCTGTTCTTAAGAAAAAACTTTTCAGCTTTTCTGCATTCAGGATGATATTGGTAGTGGGTTTGTCATATATGGCTTTTATCATGTTGAGATACTTTCTTTCTATATCTAATTTGCTAAAGTTATCATGAGGGATGCTGAATTTTGCCAAGTGTTTTTTCTGGATCTATTGAGATAGTCACATAGCTTTTATCCTTGATTTTTTTGATGTGGTGTATCACATTTATTGACTTGTATATGTTGAACTATCCTTGCATCCCTGGGATGAATCCCACTTGATCATAATGTACTTGATGTATTGCTGATGGTTAATATTTTGATTAATAAGTACTAATTCTGATTGCTAGTATTTTTTTGAGGGTTTTTGCATCTATGTTCATCAAAGATATTGGCCTGTAGTTTTGTTGTTGTTGTTTTGTATCTTTGTTTGGTTTTGGTATCAGGCTCATGCTGGCCTCATAAAAATGAGTTTG